ACATATATACACATATGCCCCTGGCATTGCCCCGGGCCCCCCCAGGGGAGCGTGCCCCACTATTTGAGAAGGACTGAATTAACGTCATTCAGCCCCCAGTGTTTCTCACCACCACTGAGGAGCTGACATCCCAGTTCAACTCTGTCTGCTTAAAGACTCTGGATCATGTTGCGCCTGTTAAAACCAAAAAATCAAAACTCAGAGCAGAACCTTGGCTGAGTGACGTCACCAAGGCCGTTAGGCAGCAGTTCAGTTACAAACTGTGATAAGACGGTCTCTTTGGTACGCCCCCTCCTCCATTGCCTGCCCTCTTCCTCGTTGATAGTCGTGTCAAACTGGTTGAAAACAACAAAGTCCATGCTCAATAATCCAGGTATACAATTCAACATTTTTCAGTCAGGTCATCTAGACACATCTTATCACAAGCAGAACTGGTTTGTTCCACTTTGGAGTAAGCTGTTTGGAGGAAGAATCAGTTTTGTTGTGTGTTTTCTTGACTGATGAAGCCTTCTGGATCGAAGGCGAAACGTTTCAGCACAAAAAAAAGAAACTGTCCAGATGGCCTGACTGAAAAATGTTGGAAATTCCTTCAACTTTTATTTATACAGGTTAGTCCCATGGAGCCTCGGGGACTCATTTACAAGAGAGACCTGAATCAAAGTGGCCAAATACCAAATCTTTCTTTGGGCGTTTGCTTGATGATGACCCCTGCAGAAGGGAGAAGTTTAAAGACAAACAACCTTTTTCACAACAACTTCAAATAGATTTTTTTCTCTCTCTTTCTTTTTGCTACAGGACACAGAACTTCTTTCTCCAAGTATTGCCATAAGCAGCATATCTCCATCCTCACCATCACTGGAAGACAGCCGTCATCTCAGTCGTAGCAACATTGACATTCCTCGCTGCTCCGGGCCTGATGACCCCAAGAAACAACTTCCACGCAAGCGCAGCGACTTGTCCACCTACGAGCTGGACACCATCAAACACCACCAAGCCTTCCTGTCCAGGTGAGATGGAAATGAACACAAATGGTTTAAACTTGGCAGAATTTTGGCTACAATTGTCTTTTGATTTGTTCTGTCTGAGCAGTCTGCACTCCAGTGTTCTCCACGGAGATCCCGGGTCAAGACGTTCCAGTAACAGCACCATGTTGGAGGGGGGCTCCTTGGGAAAGTTTGACTTTGAAGTGACTGACTTCTTTATGTTCGGTTCTCCTCTGGGGCTGGTGCTTGCATTGAGGAAGACTGTGGTCCCCTCCTTAGATGGTGAGGAAGGCTACTTACTGTATTACATTTGATGTTCCCTTTAAGTTCAAAATGGAAGAAGGTACTGTAGCATTTTCCTGTTTGGAAAAGCATGTACCTCTAAATTTCCTTAGAGAACTTTACTAATTGGCTTTTATTTGAATGTTTCTGTAAAGTGTCCTGAGACAACTTTGTTGTGATTTGGTGCTTTATAAATAAACTGAATTGAATTGAATTAAATCTGAGGCCAAGGTCAAGGGTGAGGTTCTGCCTCCAGTGGAGGAGTTCAAGTATTTCGGGGTTTTGCTCATGAGTGAGGGAAGAATGGAGCGTGAGATTTAGAGACAGATTGAAGCAGCGTCTGCAGTGTTGTGGACTCTGTGCTGGTCCATTGTGGTGAAGAGGGAGCTGAGCTGTAAGACAAAGCTCTCTGTTTACTGGTCAGTCTACGTTCCTCCCCTCACCTCTGGTCATGAACTCTGGTAGAGACTGAAAGAATGAGATTGTGGATCCAGGAGGTTGAAATGAGTTTCCTCTGCAGGGTAGCTGGACTCTCCCTCAGAGACAGGGGGAGAAGTTCAGTTATCAGGAGAGACTCAGAGTAGAACCACTGCTCCTCCACATTGAGAGGAGACCGTTGAGGTGGTTCATCAGATGGTAAGGATGCTCCCTGGGCGCCTCTCTAGGGAGGTACTTCGGACATGTCCGACTGGGAGGAGACCCTGGAGAAGACCCAATACAAGCTGGAAAGACTACGTCTCTCGCTTGGCCTGGGAACGCCTTGGAGTCCTCCCAGAAGATCTGGAAGAGGTGGCTGTGGAAAGAGATGTCTGGACCTCCCTGTTCAAGATGCTGCCCCCGAGGCCTGACTTCAAAACAAGAAGTAGATGATGGATGGATAGATGGATGGAAAAGCATGCTTGAAAGAAGATACATGGTTAGGGTGTGTAAACAATGGGGGCTTAGCCGAGCCTAGTATTGACTGTTAATTTTTTTAAATCTGTTTCAAGAATTTTCGAATTATAATTAATATAACACGTTGTTACCTTGAACTTGAACCTTGAACTTGTACCAGTTATTTACTCTGGCTGTTTTTGTCCAACAAAAAGAAAAATCAAAAACAAAATAAAAGTTCTGATTCTTAACTGTTGTCATTTTTAAAACTTGGAGGAAAACATTAAGAAAACCTTTGTATTGATTTTCATGACACAATCTGATTCTAGACTATGTGCTGCCAACATTGTCCGAGTTTCTAATCCTCCCGTACTTCAAAGGTTATTCTTGAAATCTGAGAAACTGTGTTAAATCTTTTATATATGGGCAAAAACTTCCTTTTGACCTAGAGGGGGCATTCCACCCATTTTCTAGCTTCAAACTTGGAGTGACCCTCATCTCAGTCCCTTCAAACTTGGCTGCTAACTGCTGCAGTGCACTTGGAAGGTCTTGGCCTGAAGATGCCAAGAGAACCACATCATCTGCATAGAGCAGAGATGAGACCCTGATGTTCTCAAACCATACATCCTCCTCCCCATGATTGCTTCTCAAAATCCTGTCCATGAACGCCACAAACAGGGATGGAGTCAAGGGACAGTCCTGTTGGAGTCCAAACTGCACCAAGCAGGAGTTTCACTTTGTGCCAAGAATGTGGACACAGCACCTGCTTTGGTTGTACAAGTACTGGAAAGTTGTTTAAAGCAACCCAGGTACCCCATACTCTCACAGCACCCCCTCAGAATGCCTCGAGGAACACTCATAAGTTTTCTTCAGAATCACAAAATATGTAGACTGGAGAGGCAAACTCCAATAACCCCCTTAGCAGTTTTGCAAGGGTGATGATCTGGTCCACATTTCCAAGACTCTGACGGAAGCCGCACTGCTCCTCCAGAATTCCAGTTTCAACAATCGGTCAGATCTTCCCTTCCAACGCCGTGGGGTAAACTTTCCTAGGCAGGACGAGAAGTGTGATTCCTCGATTGTTGGGACACACTCTCCGGTTCTCCTCTTTAAAAATGGGAACTACAACCCGTCTGCCACTTCACAGGTGTTGTCCCAGTCCTCCATGTGACATTGAAGAGACGTGTCAACAATGACAGCCCCGCAAAATGCAGAGCATGTAGCATCTCGGAGCGGATCTTGTCCATTCCTGACGCCCTGCCACCAAGGCGCTTTTTGACTACCTCCATGACCTCTGCCATGATCACGAACTCGTCTTCTTGAGTCCTCATACTTAGTCTCCTCAAAGATGGACATGGTGGATGGATTAAGGAAATCGTCAAAGTGCTCCTTCCACTACTCAACAGTATCCACAGTCTGGGTCAGCAGTTCCCCACCCAAACCAAGCACAGCTTGGGACAGTGCCTCCTTTCCTTTTCTGAGTCACGGAACAGTTTGCCAGAAGCTTTTCAAGACCAACCAAAGTTCGTCTTCATGGCCTACCCAAACTCCTCACATGCCATTTGTATCCGCAACCACCTAAACTGCAGTTCTTCTTGCCACCTTGTATGTGTCAGCAGCTTCTGTAGTCCTCTGGGACAGCCAAGCCCTGAAGGCCTCACTGCTGGTGTCCATCAGTGGGTCCTTTGGCCACAGCTCCTGGAACTCCAGTTCACCCTCATCATGCATTTGGTTCACAAGGTCTGTCTGACAGCCTCTCCCACCACCAGATTCAACTCGCCATCAGGTGGTAATCAGCTGACAGTTCTGCTACTCTCCACCCGAGTGTCCAAGACATATGGCTGCAGTCTGATGACATGATTACAAATCAATCCACCTTTGGCCTAAAGTGACCTGGCACCAAATATACATATGGACCGTCCTACGCTCCACCATTGCACTTGGTGGTGGATAAAATTGCTCCATCCACTCCCAGGACACTCACTCTCTGGATGACTCATCTCTCTGCAATGCCTCGTATAAGCAACATTTTAAAATACCTCTTTTCTTCTAGTCAGTGTAACTTCAGTATCTTGCACCAAAAACAGTAAAGTTTAGTTGTGTGCCCTGTTCAATTTCAATCCAGAAAACCACTCATCTCCAAAACTACTAACGTTCACTATTCAAATCTCTCTACGATGAGGAACAGTGATACCACCTTTTGCATTTAACACTAATTATGAACACCTAATATTAGATATAAATGCTGTTGATGTCTCATAAAAGTGTGTTGTCATGTTGTGTGGACTTAATTCTGTCCTTTTAAGTCCACTTGGTTCTGTTAAATAAGGGACATTTATTGTGGTCTCGTGTCATCTTGTGTTCCAGTGTCAGTTTTACGTCCAGCCTGTCAGCAAGTTTACAACCTGTTTCATCCAGCTGACCCTTCAGCCTCTCGCCTTGAGCCTCTCCTCGAAAAGCGCTTTCACGTGCTGCCCCCCTTCAGCGTCCCACGTTATCAGCGCTTCCCTCTAGGTGACGGACACTCTGCTCTCCTGGGTGAGACCTCTGGACTTACAAATGCAACTGCAATGCAACTTTTACAAAGATCACAGTACATGTTAGCTGTTTATGTCTCCTTTTCATCTCTGGCCTTTTAGTTGACACTGTGCAGAATAACCCCCAGGTTCTGAAGGAGTCCAGCAGCAACGCAGCTCACTACTGGCAGGAAAGTTCTGGCAACGAGACCACCATCTCTGTTCCCATTATCAACTCCCATACCTCACAGGTCCACACAGAAGGTATGCTGTCAGTTCTGCTCTTTGTTGCGTAACTGCTCAGTCAGCATTCAATTTTAATTCAGTTTATTTCTGTAGCTCCAAGTCCCAACAGAAGTCATCTCAGGACACTGAACAGAAACATTTATATACATTATAAAAGACAATTATTAAAGTTCTCTATCTTAGGAAGCAGCAGATTGTGTTGAATCTTCACTTCATCACAGTCTCCCATCCTGAGCAAGAACAAAGGAGACAGTGAGAAGGAAAACTCTCTTTAACAGGAAGAAACCTCCATTAGAACCAGGCTCAGGATGAGCGGCCATCTGCTTCGACCAGCTGGTTTGAGAGGACAGGAAGTAGAAACAGACAAACAGAATGACAGGTTCAGGTGTACTTTCTGTAGTCCAGGTGTACTTTCTATGGTCCAGGTGTACTTTCTATGGTCCAGGTGTACTTTCTATAGTCCAGGTGTACTTTCTATAGTCCAGGTGTACTTTCTAT